CGATCAAGTCACACTTTGGAAATCCGGGATTGAATGTTTTGCGCCGAAACTTCCAATAAGACATATTCACACACTAATTCCCAACCTATGCTAGAGTATAGGAAATGACAATACAATTTTCATACTAACAATCTCCCCATTTGGCATTTCCTATACAAAACACCTATTACAACTCAAAAGAAATTTGCATGAGATTTAACAAATGAAATCCTACTCTAAACTCGAAGCTCTAAATCCCTGCACATTTTGGAACAACAAAACCAGTGAAGCATGTGGGAAAAGAAATGTAATTCAGAGCAAAAACACTCCCCCTTAATTCTACAACACAATCTCTCCCCCTTTTATTATAATTTCACACAATCATCTCTCCCCCTTTATGTTAGGAAATCCAAAGGGCAAGGAAAGAACATAAGGGAGCTAATATAAAGGCATAAAGAAATCACCAATTTAATGCCCAAGAATAGCAAGATGTCAGAAGCCAAAAAGAGAGGGATAACAGTACCATCAATAGTGGCAAAAATATGAGAGAATGATTATCACCAAAATCAGAACAATTAACCATTATAGTCCTTGAGGAACATTGTCTTTTCATGGCTAAAGGAGAGACAAAGTGAAGGGATTAGTGTGTCTGATTCCAGATGTAAAGGGTGCAAAACTCTCATCATGCATAGCCAAGATCCATTCATCATCTACAAGAACAACATACACAATATACACAATTTTAGGTTCATCATATAAACAATACACGATGCTTACCTATTTGTTTATGTGTCTTCAGCTCTTCATTTTGTCATACATATTTCCAAAGACATATTCTTGTAAACATGCTGTGCTACAGGTCTGCAACTGACTGTTGATGAAGTCTGGGCCTTGCTTGTTTGTTTTTGGGGGGCTTTGTCTTTTGTTTTGTTTTGTTTGGGTTGTGATTCTGTTTTCTTTTTCTGTTGGGGTTCTGGTGGTTTGCCCTGGGGGATTTTTGTCCTTTTTCTAGTGTTTCTTTTTTTTTGTTCTAAATTAAATTGTTTCTATTAGAAAAAAAGTATTGAGAGTATTTTGCTTTTATATATGTGTGAGTTGATATATTTCGGTTAATATGCATTCTTTATTTATTTGTTATAACGTGGTCTACTTGTTTGGTGTTATTTCTTCTTTTCTTCAGTTCAATGAATTAATGTACAATTTCTTGTTTAATACATTCTTTAGTCTCACATTTTGTTATTTTAATTTGGTTTTGCTTGTGAGTTGAAGTAGATGGTGTTGAGGTCATCCAATTGAGAGACAATAGATTGTTTTGTATTGAAATGCTGAAGTAATAGTTTTTTAAACCAATGATGTCTGATTAATTTGTTACCACTTTAGATGAGTAGTTCTGGAGAGAGTTCATGAGAAGGGCTCAATGTTGACTTGGGGTATGGTCTAGAGGGAGATGGTTCTGCAAGTGGTACTGGTATGTTGGTTTTTTCCTTTTTCTTTTGATAAACTGGTATGTTTAAATCATTAAATAAACATATTGTATATGGGATATATGAGAAACTTATTACCTTTGTATTGAGCAGTTAAAATTAATTTTTCATGTAGGTAGTGAGGCAAAGCAAGGTCGGGGTCAAGGGATATGCAACTGGTGTCTAAATAACATGAGAAGAAGTATCGGACTCCAGCAAACTTGATGTGTGGGACACTCTCGTGTTTCTTATTCCTAAAACTATTGAATACTTAGTGCATGTATGTGAGTTTATTAGTTATATATTTTAGAGTTGATGTAAGACTACCTTATTGTGGATGCAGGGCATCATTGAATTTCGTCCTGAACAGCAGCCTTTGATTCATGTCTTCAAGGATGTATGTATAAATGAAGAATAATGAATAATTGTGGAGAAGTTTCAAGAGTGATTTGAAGAAAGCTTTCAAAGGAAGTAAAAGACGGTGGCAATGTGGGGATTCTCGTGTAGACCCAGACCAGTGGCGGCTGTTGGTTGAACATTAGGAAAAGGATGAGACTGCAGTACGTATTATTACACAACAGTTAATATATATATATATATATATATAATCTGTGCTATGATCAAGTATGTTTTTGTTTTTGCGAATAACAGGAACAAACTAATGAAATGCTGAAAATTGGAGTAAACAAATGTTGAATCACACATCTGGCACAAAGTCTTATGCTCGAAGCAAAGCATCATATGTAAGTTTATGATGCACTTGAATGTTTAATTTTTTTTCTCGTCCATTGTGCTTTATGCTCTTTTATTTGTTCAAGTACATGAAAAACGAAATGTAGAGGTCCAGAAGACTAATTGTACAATTCGTCATTGTAGATTTTATTGGTCTGGTTAATCTATGATGACCATAGAATTCATTTGATGGAGAATGATCAACTGAATGTATATCTTTGTTTTTTTATAAGGATGGTTGTATCTTGTATGGTTCAATCTTTCAGTATTGTACTTATAATTGTCATTACATTTTTAGTATCAATTAAAAAAAAATTGGAATGAAAAATGTGCAGATTATATTACAAAACAAAAGGCATTTGAAGGAAGTATATTTAATGGTGCATTAGCTCAGAAAAGAATTGAATTGACAAACAATCCTGGCTTTTCTTTTCTTTTCTTTTCTTTTTTTCTTTTTTTTTGGGGGTTAAGAAACGGTCCTGCCGAATGTTTGGCCACTGGTATCCAAACAATAATCCTCACAAAAGCTTTGTTTAATACTGGCCATTTGCTTTGTCAGTAATAAATTGAAAGAAACAAACCTATACGGACGAATAAGTTGCCAAAGTTGGTCAGTATTAGTATTACTGACAGGACTTTTACAGACAAGTCTTATTTCCGCCACTGCACTCGTCAGGAAGCCATTATTGACGAATTTTCACCAGTGATAAGGTTTCTATTGACCATAGAGGGTTGTCGGTATAAGCAAAAATTGAGATGGATAATTAACATATGGAATTTTGTGAAATTAATTTGAAACCTCAAGGGGTGTGAGTGTGAATTTTGAGACCTCCAAAGGTTTTGGGACCAAAAACCTCAAATGGAACAAATATCTATTTGACATCAAAGAAAAGGACCCGTGACATACAAACTCGTGTTTGTTTCGTTACAATAGAAAAAAAGCTGTGAAAGAAGCACTTGGGATTCTAAAATTTTGGAATCAATTAGACAAACCCTCGCAATTTGTTTTCATCTTTAGTTAAACTTTTTTTTTCCCATCATAAAAGTATCCTTAAATAACGAAAGAGTAGCTTTTCTGAACCTTTAACTTCAAGATAAACAATATAATTACAATGCAAAACAAAAGAAATTAACATTAATAATCAGATTTTCCACCTAATTGCACATCAATCCAAACGCTATCCCTCTATCCCTCCAATTAAATTATGTAGCTTCCTGTTGTTCTTCACGGGCTTAAATTCTATGTTTGCTAGTGTAGTTTCCACCAATGCCCCGTCTAAACTACAAATCAATCGGTCGTGTTTGAACTTTTTAAATAAGGACATATCTTGTTTGAATTTTTTGAATATTATCTTTTTACTTCCTATAAATTATTGTTTTCCTCTTTCAACTTAATCATATATCGTCCAATATTATTCTTGTTGAAGTTTTGTCCCTTTTTTTTCACTCTAAAGCTGAATTCATATAAAGGCTTGTAGTTTTAGTGGTTAAGAACACTTACTCATACACAAGTCCTTACTTCAATTCCCCCTCTCCCAATATTTACAACTCTGGTAAACACTCCACCAACTTTAGCTCAAGTAAGTATTACAATAATTTGAGGAAACAATGTTAGGTGTTTTAGTTTAGTGGTTTGGTACTTCAATTGTCACGCGAATCTTTGTTTTCATTTTCATAAACCAGACACAGAGAATTACAAACTAACACTTCAAAAGTAAGGCAGCCTGTTGGGAGCATGCAGACAAAAAATCAAAAGCAGGATTCCAGGTGGGTAAAGATGTGTGTGTAGTAACAAGCTACACGATGCTGCATTCATATTCTTACAATGTGTTTTGACTATTAGACAATTTTATGCCCGTTGAAAACTGACTTTTCTGCTCATGTGGAAAATGCAGCTTTCTACATATATATGAGTGGACATCATCATCTGCAGACAAATCCAGATCCTGTTTCGTCATTAGCTTAGCTAAAGTGGAATAGTATGAGGATTACAGCCTAGTAGTTGGTGGAGGCACGAAAGGCTACAGCTACGCATGGGAAGTCTCGGTTAATGGGATGCCGGGTTCCCTTTTGAGTGTAGAAAAGCTGCTGACAAGAGGATACCAGCGGAGTCTAGCATCCTACGAATATACCCTCAACGCAGCAGTGCACATATATGAGTTAGGTTGCCTATGAGTTATTTACATTAACACCCCTAAGGTTTTCTACTTTTTCACAACATTTTTTGAGGTTTTGGAAATTACACAAACACCCCCTGAGGTTTTAAATTGTTTTCACAAAATTCATTTTCATTGATTTTTCAACCAAAAATTAATGAATTTTATACAAAAAAATTCTCCAAATAACAAAGTTGACCTTTGAGATTGGATTGTAGATACTTTATTGAGGTTAATTTTCTCATTTGCATAAGTTTTTTTTCAATGAAATCATCAATTTTTGGATAAACAATCAACGAAAAAGGGATTTGTGAAAACAAACTTAAATCTCAGGAGGTGTTCGTGTAATGTTTGAGACATGAGGGGAGTTTTGTGAAAACACAAGAAACCTCATGGGGTGTTAGTGTAAATAGAAATATATTTAATAGTTTGACTGGTAGCTAATTTATGACTGAGAATTAATAATTGTTGCAATCTTTTAAACCTAGTCACTTTTTGCTTCTGTGGATATGAGGCATGCACGTCACTGGCCTGGTAAGGTTTAATTTGATGGTCTCCATGCGGTCAGAGACCCTTTATTTATAATGCTAGGTGGCTTCTGGACGCTTGAAGTAACTAGCAGGCACAAAATAAGCCGGCTGCAAGCATACAAAGCTGGCCAAAAGAAAACATGGAGGGTTATAACTTGGGTGTGAGAAAAGGAGCTTGGACTAGAGAGGAAGATGATCTTCTGAGGCAGTGCATTGAGAAACAAGGAGAAGGAAAGTGGCACCAAGTTCCTTACAAAGCAGGTATTAATGTGAAATATAACTCCAAAAGAGGGATAGATAAATGGTATATAGAGCTACAGCTTAATTAAGTAGTGAAGCGTTGTCTTTGTATTGTTTCTTAACACACACAAAAATGACATCCTGAACTTCTCTACTCATTGTTAATTGATTTTCTGTACGTGTTTTGCGCAAGTAATGTCATACATAAAGTCCCATTTTGATATGCTGTAACAAAGACAAAAACGAAGTTTAAGACGCAGCCTGATAATTTCATGACAAGTTTTGTGATAAAAACTCAATTTTTGCATTATGACCGTGTGCAGGATTAAGCAGATGCCGGAAGAGCTGTAGACTAAGGTGGTTGAACTATTTGAAGCCAAATATCAAGAGAGGAGACTTTATGGAAGATGAAGTAGATCTAATAATTAGGCTTCACAAGCTTTTAGGAAACAGGTACCAATAAATAATGTCTCTTTCCTCGCTCATAAGACACATGGTATGGTACTACTGCTGTTGCCGTTGGTTGAACCCTAATCCCCAAACACAAAACAAAAATAAAAAATACAAACATGTGCCAACATATCCTGTGCTTTTTTAATTTTTTTTGTTTTTTTGTCTCGGAAGGACAAAATAAGTGGAGAGTTTGGTGCGACACCAATTAATGGATGGCACAATAATATTCTCCCTAACATTATTGTTTCCCATAACTAGCAAAAATTAAATTAATATATCCATCCATAGGAAATTTATTTGCTCTTGGTTTTCTTGGGTGAAATTTTATACCTATGTTGGGCTCCTTTTCCTTTTACTTTATTCATCTTTGTTATTGGTAAAATCTTTCAAACACAAACTAGCATACAAGGAGTTGGCTCCCTTTGACATAGTTTGGAGCTCTAAAGAGGAGAAGATGTTTGGTTGTGTTGGGTTCGGGCTTAGCCAGTATGGGACTAGGTTTTAGCCTGTATGACGCTATAATTTTCTTCCCTTTGACATAGTTGTCTTATATGTCTTAGTTTTGTTTTAGATTAATAATTTTCAAAAACTCTTTAGAAGTTTGCTGTGATTTTTTTTCCTTCTATTTAAAATGTTTATTTCTTTTTAGCTTTTGGCTTTCGATACGAATTTGCTGTTTCTACCGTTTGCACAGCAAATTTGTATTGTATGTCTGAGTACATGTGCTTATGGTTGCTAGATCAAGGATTTAGTCATTATTTAAATTGTGCGTGATTCTCTCCAGATCAATTCAATATGTTGTTGTGTTTGGTCACTGGAGAAGATTTACTCATGTTCGGCACATAGTTGCTTTGTACTTTTTTTTGTTCATCAATAATATATTATCACTTATTTTAAAATAAAAATAAAAAAACTAGCATACAAATGTATTAACTTTCTCATGCTATGTGTTGAAGGTGGTCATTGATTGCTCGAAGACTTCCAGGAAGGACTGCGAATGATGTGAAAAATTACTGGAACACCCGATTGCGGACGGATTATTGCATGAAAAAGATGAAAGACAAATCCCAAGAAACAATAAAGACCATAATAAGGCCACAACCAAGAAGCTTCACCAAAAGTTCAAATTGTTTGAGTTTTAAAGAACCAATTTTGGACCGTACTCAACTAGAAGAGAAGTTTAGTGAGACATCACAAACATCAACATCAACAAGGATTGGAAGTGATTGGTGGGAGACCTTTTTAGATGACAAGGATGCTACTGAAACAGCTACAGGTTCTGGTCTTGGGTTAGATGAAGAACAGCTCGCAAGTTTTTGGGTTGATGATGATATGCCTCAATCGACAAGAACATGCATCAATTTTTCTAAGGAAGGATTAAGTATAGGTGATTTCTCTTTTAGTGTGGACCTTTGGAATCATTCAAATGAAGAATAGAGAAAGTAAGTCTTAAGTCTTAGTAGTATTTGCTAAAATATGAAAACTATGAGAGAATATTTGTTTGTGGGAATTTTCTGTGTATTCTTCTCCTTGTAGGAGGTCATATTTATAATACAACGAAACCTGAATGGGGCAAGTAAATAATAAATTCCTAAATCTATTTACAATAGGAAATCAAGAATTAAAGTAAATCAATTATAATTATAATAGGAATTCTTGGTGTGTAAGGAAAGTAAGTCAATATCCACAAGTCACGCCAACACTCCCCCTCACGTTGGTGCATAGATGTCGCCAATGCCCAACTGATCCAGTGAATTGTGGAATGCTTTACTGGAAATCGCCTTTGTCAAAATATCCGCCAATTGATCCTCGGATTTCACAAAAGGAAACTGAAACACTTTAGCCTCAAGCTTCTGTTTGATGAAGTGTCGATCCACCTCAACATGTTTAGTACGATCATGCTGAACCGGATTCTGTGCAATGGCTATAGCAGCCTTGTTGTCACAAAAGAGATTCATTGTAGATGTAGGTTTATACCCAAGTTCAATAAGCAACTTTCTTAACCAAAGAAGTTCACAAATCCCTTTAGTCATGCCTCTGAACTCGGCTTCTGCACTGGATAAAGCTACTACATTCTGTTTCTTGCTCCTCCATGTCACCAAATTACCTCCCACGAATGTGAAGTAACCCGATGTGGATTTTCTATCTGTTACATTACCTGCCCAATCTGCATCTGAATAACCATCAATATTTAGATGACCATGCTTTGAGAACATAAGTCCTTTTCCAGGTGCAGACTTCAAATATCTAAGTATCCGAAGAACTGCATTCATGTGGTCTTCACTTGGAGAGTGCATAAATTGACTGACAACGCTCACTGCATAAGCAATGTCTGGTCGAGTATGTGACAAATAGATCAATCTTCCCACTAACCTTTGGTATCTTTCTTTGTTAGTTGGAACTTGATCCGGATATTCTCCAAGATGATGATTCTGAACAATAGGAGTGTCCGCAGGTTTGCAATCTAGCATTCCTGTGTCTGTCAACAAGTCCAAGACATATTTCCTTTGAGAGAGAAATATGCCTTGCTGCGATCGAGCCACCTCAATTCCCAAGAAATACTTGAGTCCACCTAGATCCTTCATTTCAAACTCTGTAGCCAGATAGTCTTGTAGCTTTGATATTTCCTGTTTATCATTCCCAGTAATAATCATATCATCAACATAAATTATTAATGCTGTTACCTTCCCTTTCCGATGTTTCAAGAACAGAGTATGATCGGAGTTGCACTGTTTGAAACCATTGTTCTTCATTGCCATGGTGAACCGTCCAAACCATGCACGTGGTGACTGTTTCAACCCATACAATGCTTTTCGTAACCTGCAAACTGTTCCAGTCTGAGTAGTATTATAACCAGGAGGAATGTCCATGTACACCTCCTCCGTGAGTTCGCCATGTAGAAAAGCATTCTTTACATCAAACTGGTGTAGTGGCCAATCCAAATTAGCTGCAAGGGACAATAAGACTCTGACGGTGTTTAACTTTGCAACTGGAGCAAAGGTTTCTTCATAGTCTATACCATAGGTCTGTGTGTACCCTTTTGCCACAAGTCTTGCCTTGTATCGCTCGATAGATCCATCTGCATTGTGTTTTATAGTAAACACCCATCTACATCCGATAGTCTTTTTTCCTCGTGGTATAGTCTCCAATGTCCAAGTCTGATTTTTCTCAAGAGCTTTCATCTCCTCTTTTATAGCTTGGACCCACTTAGGATCTTTCAATGCTTCAGAGACCTTGGTTGGAATATGGATAGCAGACAACTGATGCACAAAAGCCTTGAGTGGTTCAGACAGCTTCTCAGTGGATACATGATTTGCAATTGGATACTTGGATGTTTTGCCAATATCAGGTGAATAGCGGTTTGGTGGCTTCCCACGATTTTGCCTGAAAGGTAATTGATATCCAATAGTTTTATCCTCTAAATGCACAAGTCTAGTAGGAGTAGTTACCTCAAGGATATTCTCAGGAGATTGGTCTGTTGGTACTGTTGAGTTAGAGGGGGGGTCTTCATCTTGTTGTTCTGTATTGTCTGTAGGTGTGAGACTCGGATCAGAAATATCTTCGTATGGATCAGGTGGGTCAGGTAATTGATCGCTATGAATGGGCGATTGGTCGCTTTTCGGCATAGAGTAATCTTGTGCTCCAGACTCAGGATGATCAATCATTTCTGTACATAGGAGAATTTCTTCGTTTTCCAAGTTGCTCCAATTCTGCTCTTCACTTCGTATCTCCCCCTGAAGCGTAGAATTGGATGATGGGTCATGGAAGAACAGCTCAGATTCCAGAAAGGTCACATCCAAAGTGACATAGGTACGTCGGGTAGGAGGGTGATAACAACGGTAGCCTTTCTGATGAGTGGCATAACCCACAAAAACACAACGAAGCGCACAGGGATCAAGTTTGCTACGTTGATTTTTGTGGAGATGAACGAAAGCCACACATCCAAAGATTCGGGGTGTGAGTACCAAAACAGAGGGCAGAGGTCTGTGTTGCGCAAGCACCTGTAAGGGAGTTTTAAAGGTCAATACACCAGAAGGCATGCGGTTGATTAGGTGAACTGCAGTGACAATAGCATCATCCCAGTGATGGCGAGGAACATGAGCGCCAATCAGAAGTGCTCGAGCGGTTTCAAGAAGATGTCGATTCTTTCGTTCAGCAACACCATTTTGTTGCGGTGTCTGAGGACAAGTCGTCTCATGGATAATTCCATGTTGTTGGAAGTAAGTCTGAAAGTCATGATTGACAAATTCTCCACCATTGTCGGAGCGAAGAATCTGGATTTGAGCATTAAACTGAGTTTTCATCTGTTTGTGGAAGGACTGAAACCGGGAAAACACTTCGTTTTTATTCTTCAGCAAATAAAGCCATGTCATCCGTGTACAATCATCTATGAACGTGACAAACCATCGAACACCAGAAGGAGCAGTGATAGGTGAAGGTCCCCAGACATCAGAGTGAATTAACGTAAATGGAGTAGTACACTTGTTCGTACTCAACGGGTAGGGCACACGGTGACTCTTGGCCAAAATACAAGTATCACATGTGAAGTCGGAGTCCTTGAAACCTGAGAATAAATCTGGTATAAGATGCTTCATATAACTAAAAGACGGATGTCCCAATCGACGGTGCCACAACCAGATTTGCTTTTGTTTGCTATCAAAGGGATGCGTCACACTGTTAGCCATGCCAGGACTGAAGTCATCGACATAATATAGCCCCCCTCTCTTAGTACCACGACCAAGAATCTCCTTAGTGTGAATATCCTGAAGCAAACAAAAACTCGGGTAAATGAGTACACAACAATTCAATTGTTCAGTAAGCTGACTAACGGACAACAATTTAGTGGATAAAGATGGAACAAGTAAAGTATTAGACAGTGTGAGAGAGGATGAGAGTGCAACAGTGCCAGCCCCTGTCACAGGATAAGTAACACCATTGGCATTTGCAATACAGGTTCGTCGAGGTTGTGTAGTATTCAGAAAAATCATCAGGATCAAACGTCATATGATCAGTTGCACCGGAATCAATTATCCAACTCCTGGAATCAATCTTAGCGGAAGTATGGAATCCATAACCAGTACCATTACTGGTCGTATTGCGTTGTCCTCGATCTTTAAGAGTAGCCCACCAATCGGGATAGCCATGCAATTTAAAACAAGTCTCACGAGTGTGTCTTGGATCACCACAATATTCGCAATCTGGTCCATGTGTCGGGGTCGTTAGTCGAGAAGTCATAATCTGTGCAGCGGAAGATGTATAGGATACAGGTTTAGTAGGAATTCGGATCGGGATCTGAGCCTGAGTCGGGGTCGGAGTCGGAGTCGAAGTCGGGATCGGGGTCTGAATCAAAGACAAATTCGGGGTCGGGGTCGGAGTCATCATCGGAGTGGGGGTCGAGGTCGTTGTCGGAGTCGGAGTCAGAGTCGAGGTCGTCGTCGTCGTCATAGTCGGGGTCAGGGTCGGGGTCGTCAAAAGAGGATCCTGATTCAGGATTAGATTCGGGGCCAAAGTCTGCATCTGTAGGAGCTGAGCCATCTGGGCACTCAACTCGGCTATGGTTGGTTGAGAAGGAGAGAAGGAGTCGGTGGTGCTACCTCCATGAGGGATGAAAAAATCACCAACCCCATAGCGGTGGCGGGGGTGTGAAACTAGAGTCAGCAATTCCAAGATCGCCGCTCTGATACCATGCTAAAATATGAAAACTATGAGAGAATATTTGTTTGTGGGAATTTTCTGTGTATTCTTCTCCTTGTAGGAGGTCATATTTATAATACAACGAAACCTGAATGGGCAAGTAAATAATAAATTCCTAAATCTATTTACAATAGGAAATCAAGAATTAAAGTAAATCAATTATAATTATAATAGGAATTCTTGGTGTGTAAGGAAAGTAAGTCAATATCCACAAGTCACGCCAACAGTATTGCCTTTTTGGAGAGTGTTTGTCCCACATTGAAAAGTTAAGAGACCTAGCCTGGGTTTATAAGAAATTGGGCAACTCCCTCCATTGCTAATTGAGTTTGGGGTGGAACCTCAACTTCTTTCGTGGTATCAGAATAAGGCTTCACGTGTTGGGCCCAACCGCCACATGTGCTCCCACCTCAACAATCCTTCATGGTATTAAAATTGTTAACAACTTTACTTTTGATAACACTTTTTTCTTTTTCAGGATATTTGTTATTAACACGTTTATTCAACTATATGTAAGATATACAAATAGTATTTTTCATTGATGTTGCTGAGGTAAAATACCTCTATGCCGAGCTCAGCTAAAATCCATATGATTGAGTCGAGCTTGGGTCCAAGTGGTCAAGTTGAGCTCTCAAGTCCGAGTGGATGAATTGTGCTCGAGATCAAGTGGCTGAGTTGAGCTCGAACCTAATTGCCACATAAATTTTATTTTCCCAAGAGGTGCAACCTAAATGACACCTCTTTTATCAAAGTCTTCTATTTTCAAATAAATTTCTCAACAACTAGTATAAAAAACTGATTGTCTACATATTTTTCCTATATTTTCTGTAATATCTCACATCGACCAACGAAGAGGGGGTGATGTGTCTTATATGTACATGCCTGCCTCCATTTAGCACGAGGCCTTTTGGGAGCTCACTGGCTTCGGAGTCATGGGAACTTCGAAGTTAAGCGAGTTGGGGGCTAGAGCAATCCCAGGATGGGGGACCTACTGGGAAATTGCTCATGAGCTCCTAGAAACAAAACCGCAAGGGCAGAGAGGGGGGCCCAAAGCGGACAATATCGTGCTACAGTGGAGCCGATCTTGGGATGCGACAATTTGGTATCATAACTACTCTGCCGTATGGTGCGAGTGTGCTGACGAGGACGTCGGGCCCCTAAGGGCTCAGTAGTAAACAAAAATTCCTCCTTTTAGATTTTCATGTTAATTACTAAAATGTGCCTTATGTGTACTGTTGATCAAATTGACCTTATTTGAATATATGATAAGAATTGACATGGTCTAATCATATTACATATTACGTGACATGATTATTTAAAAATACACATTAAGTGAAAAAAATAATTTATATAAGCGATATTGGAGTAGTGGGGGATCAAAACTTAGAACCTCAGGTGAGAGGATAAATTCTCTTAACCAATTGAACTATAAGTCCCTTACAAAATAAGCATTTAGTTGGTGAAAACTTTTTAGTTTATTAAAAGAATTTGGAGAGAGATGTTAGGCTCGTGTGCCTATGTGTGATATCTGAAGAGAGTTAAGCCACGTGTCTTTAGTTAGTTTGTTTAAGAAGTAGTTAGGCTGTTAACTAAGCATCTAGTTAAGTGTTAAACTTTGATGAGAGACAATTAATTGATGGTTTCTCTCATTTTCTTGGCTTTGATTATCTTTGTTCTTTCTCTGATCACCACCATAAATATTTTTGGCTCCAACACTCTAAAGCAGGATTCAAGAGATGCGTCTAAAAAGGTTACACGATGCTGCATTCATGTTCGTAGAATATGTGCTTTGACAATTAGAGAATTTTATGCCCTGGAAAATTCTTTCTTGGTCACCTAGAAATTGCAGCTATACACTACTAAAAAAACTGGTCAAAGACCACCACGAGCATAAGGACACAAATAAAATCGCAGCACAGTAATTATATTTATTATCTAATATTTCTTTTAAGGAAAAGTAAGTGATTATTTGGATAGACACAACATTTTTACTCACCACCTTAACCCTAAGTGTATCCTCACCACCCCTCTCAAAAGTTGACACATGTCCATGGGTTTAACTATAGTTAATTATTTATTTTTTATTTATTTGATAACATTATTATGAGAGAGAAACAATACTTCAATAAAAAAATTCCTGATTTACCCTTATTAACCTAGCAAACTTTCCACTTTTCTAAATTAATTAACAGCTACCCAAATAAATAATTAGCAATTGGCGTGCTTTAATATGAATATCAATTCACAGGCTTCAATACTTTGAAGAACACACCCAAATTCATTGAATCTCAATTGGCTTTAGTTAACTCCTTTTATCCACACCCAAAATTACACTGCTCTTCAATTGCAGGCTTCTTCCACTTGTTCAAGTGAAAGATAGGTCACATCTATGCTGCTTTTTTTTAGTACTCTATATTGCTTGATTATTTTTTATATTTTGGTGATTGCTTTGCATTATTTAGTACAATATTATAATTTGGCCATAACAAATTTGAATAACACCATAAAACATAGTTTTAACGGCAAATTATGATAATTTTATATAAATCCGAAAGGTTTTCTTAAAATAAAATACTCCAAAGGAAAATCATAGAGGTAGAGGTAGAGGTAGACGACGGATGAAAAAGAACAATTCACGTGCGGATAAATTACAAATATTCTATACCTGAACAGGTGTATATAAATTTGAGTGTCCGCTCATCTCATGTGCGGATAAATTAATTTCCTTAGACACTGTAAAGCAATTAAACGATAATTATATTGACATAAAGTAAATAATGAACAAAAAAAGTTGATCTACTAACCTTTTCTTTTAGATGAACCTTTCTTTTTAGATGGCTTTGATTCCAAAGAACTCTTAATTCTACATTTTCCTCTACCTTTCGACTTTTGAATCTTTGGATCTCGCAATTTAAGATTATCCTCATCTTCACTTACATGCTTATCAAGAATTTCATCGTGTTCATCTCCAAAGTATGGATGTTTTTCTAATTTTGCCTCTAACTGTAACAATTCAGACTTAAAAAAAATGCATGTTTGGTTGTTCCTTGCACCCTTTAATTGCTGTATGATTCTTTGTACTATATGAGATAACTCGCTATACTGAACCATGGAAGATGACTCTAGAGTACTCAAAGGTACTTCTTCATTCTAATCAAAGTCAACATCACATGTAGCTTCCTTGCTCCATCTCTTTAAATAATACTTAGATGGCAGAGTTGAGAACTCTAATTCATGATATAATTTTAGTGCATGTGCACAAAGAATCCCCTCAAATTCAAACTTTTTACAGCTGCAACTGACTGTTGATCAGGAAGGTCATATGTAAGTGATCTGCTTATTCCTCTCATTCCAGAATTCATAACCATATATCTACGTGTTAGCCCATCATCACTTTGTAATTTCAACCTCAAACCTAAAAGTTTCTTACACTCATCTTGGAAACAATAGAAAAACTTAGTTGTATACTTCGGTGTTGCTTCAATCTCCACATTCCAATTAGAGGATAAATTGCACCATTTTTGTTTAGTTGCAAGCTTGCAATAGTTTAACCCATGGACATGTGTCAACTTTTGAGAGGGGTGGTGAGGGTACACTTAGGATTAAGGTGGTAAGCAAAAATGCACCCAAAAAAAATTGTGTCTTTATCTTACTGATGTGACAAGATCCCGAACCTTTGTATTTAACATCGGTGTATTTATACATTTAAAGAAATCTTAACCATTTGATTAATCTTATGGCTAATATTCTACCACATCAACGTTAATTATATAAAATCTTATGAATTGTATCAATTATTCGCATTTGTATCCTCCATTGCCTTCATCACCTCAACTGTTACTTGTTTTGGCCCCAAAGACTTGAATAAACCCATTGCAAGAAAGATTATCTTTGCCGAAGATGTTTTTGGCGTCGAACTAAAATTATGTTTTAATCATGAATGGCTGCTTCAGATAAATTCTTCCGAATATACAATTGAATATTTTAGCGTTCTTTTAACTTTCCCCAATAAATTCTTCATTGCTGGGTTAAATAATTGTTAATTCAGATTCACGTGCATATGAGGATTAGATAGAAAAGATGAAAATTTCAAACCTACCTTTCTCACGCAAAAACAAATACCATTTAATGCACTCAAGAATTTGGTTGTTCATATAGTTTGGTTATTTTTGCTTTGTTTAGATATGCTAGGGGGGCGTGGGGTGTGGGGTGTGGTTTGGAGATAATGGAAGATGATGAGGGGAACTAGGTGATGAGGGAGGAGAGGATGGGGTGGGGTGGGGTAGGGTGGGGCAGCGGAAATTTGAGTTTTCCAGGTGATGAAGACAATTGAGGATACATATGCCGGCAATTGATCCAATGCATAAGGTTTAATATAATTATGCTGATGTGGTAGAATTTTAGCCATAAAATTAATTAAATGGTTAAGATTCCATTAAATACATATAAATGTGCTAAAATATGAATATGGTTTGAATACTTTGAGTTCAGTTTTATTCTTCTCCATAAAGAGGTATATATATAGGAGTTTACAATAGGATTTTACAAAGAATTAGATACAGTAAAGAATTAGGAAAGTATCTCTTAATTGTACAATGATTTATCACTTATATAAAAATAGGAAAATAAATCCCTTAATTAATCAAGGAAGTAAATCTTCTTGATTAATTAGGAGACTCACGTCAACACTCCTCCTCAAGTAGGTGCATATATGTCACCAATGCCCAACTTGGTAAGTGAGTCATGAAATACTCTTCCACAAACAGTTTTGATTAAGATATCTGCTAGTTGATCTTCTGATTTTATGAATGGTAGGCGGATGATCTTTTTCTCAATTTTTTCTTTGATAAAATGTCTATCCACCTCAACATGTTTGGTTCAATCATGTTGAACTAGATTATGGGCAATATCGATAGCTGACTTGTTGTCACAATGTAACTCCATTGGCTTTTCTGGCTTGAAGCCCAATTCTGTCAAGAGTCTTCTGATCCACAATAATTCACAAACTCTGTGAGCCATTCCTTGATACTCTGCTTCTGCACTGGACTGAGAAACCACATTTTATTTTTTACTCCGCCAAGTGACTAGGTTACCTCCCACAAATGTAAAGTAACCAGAAGCAGAGCGTCTATCTGTAATGGAACCAGCCCAATCAGCATCTGTATATCCAACAAGTTCAAGATCTCCATTTTTTGAGAACATTATTCCTTTCCCAAGGGCTGACTTTAAGTATCTTAAGATCAGATCAACTGCATTCCTATGAGAAACACTAAATGAATGCATAAACTGACTAACCACACTCACAACATATGCAATATCTGGTCTTGTGTGTGCCAGGTATATCAACCTTCCAACAAGGCGTTGGTACTGTCCCTTATTGGTTGGTTCTTGGTCCATGTCTTCACACAACTTGTGATTCATCTCAATGGGTGTGTCAGCAGGCTTACATCCAAGCATTCCTGTTTCAGTGAGTAGATCCATTACATACTTCTTTTGAGACAGAAATATACAAGCTTTTGACCTTACTACTTCAATTCCGAAAAAGTAATTCAGATCACCTAAATCCTTCATCTCAAATTCCTGAGACAAATAATTTTGCAACTTCAGTTGCTTTTCTGCGTCGTTTCCAGTTACGATTATGTCATCTACATAAACAATCAATGCAGTAAGTTTTCCTTCATCACGCTTCAAGAACAGGGTGTGATCTGAATTACTCTGTGTGTATCCAAAATTCTTCATAGATTTAGTAAATCTGTCAAACCGTGCCCTAGGAGATTGCTTTAACCCATATAATGACTTTTTGAGTTTGCAAACTTCATTTTTCTTGTCAACAACTGAATTACATCCTGGGGGTAAGTCCATATATACTTCTTCTTCCAAGTCTCCATGTAAGAATGTATTTTTGACATCAAACTGATGTAGTGGCTAATCGAGATTTACTGCTAGAGACAATAAGACTCTAATAGTGTTAATCTTGGCTAATGGGGCAAATGTCTCCTCGTAGTCTATCCCATATCTTTGTGTGTACTCCTTCACCACCAATCTAGCTTTATATCTTTCAATGGATCCATTTACTTTGAGTTTCACAGTATAAATCCACCTGCATCCTACTGTCTTCTTTCTATGAGGTAGGGGCACGAGTTCCCATGTGACATTCTTTTGGAGAGCTCGCATTTCTTCAATCATAGCTTCTTTCAATTTTGGGTCTTCTAGTGCTTCAGTTATACTGTTGGGGACAGATATGTCAGCCAACTGCTTCATAGAGTGCGCACGTGACTTTGTTAATCTGCTGAGAGATATATAATTATTGATGGGGTATTTCCCTTTGGCTTTAAGATCTGCTTCATATTATACTCGAGGTTTACCACAGTTCTTCTTTTCTGGAAACTGATATGTAGGCTCTGTGCCTTCTGAAATCAAATCATCATGGGATATTTCATTAGTATTATCAGTTTCAGGAAAAGATGTTACCTGAATGACTTCCTCAGCAGGTGATTGGTGTGGTACTGGAGCTGAAGCGGGCAAAATCTCATAAAATGGTTCAATTTCCTCCTCCTGATTTTGACCTCGTGGAGACAACGGATCGTTTTCTTCTGGAGATTGGTCATTTTGAAGCAGGTTCTCTGTAGTAGAAGAATTAAGGAGGGCGACCAGTTGCTTTCCACTGGCGACCAGTCACTTTAATGCAGAATGACGTCTTGGGAAAAAATCGAGAATTAGAGTAGTGGTGGATTCTCGATTCTCCTCCTGGGCTAGTGAAAAGTATAAGTCATGTTCTCGAAACACAACATCTATGGAGGTAAATAACTTCTGACTAGGAGGATGATAACACCGGTATCCTTTCTGATGAGTTTTATAGCCAATGAAACACACTTTTTGGCTCGGGTATCCAATTTGCTTTATTGGTGATCATGTAAGTGGACAAATGCAACACAGCCAAAAATTCGAGGTTTCAAGTTTGGGGTGGGAGGTGTTTGGATATAGTGGTGAAGTGTTTGAAGTGGTGTTTGGAAATTTAGGATACTAGAGGGAATCCGATTGATAAGGTATGCTGCAGAGACAACAGCTTCACCCCAAAAGGATCGTGGCATATTGGCACCAACGAGAGAGGCACGAACGACTTCCAATAAGTGTCTGTTCTTTCTTTCAGCCACCCCATTCTGTTGGGGGGTGTAAGGGCATGAGCGTTGATGTATGATGCCATGATCTTGTAAAAACTGGTTAAGATCATGGTTGAGAAATTCTCCGCCATTGTCAGAATGAAGAACCTGAATTCCGGCATGAAATTGAGTCTCCAACATTTGATAAAACTGTTGAAACCTTTAACTGACTTCCCCTTTAGTTTTGAGAAGGGAAACCTAAGTCATGCGTGTGCAATCATCTATAAACGTGACAAAACATCGTGCCCCTGCCGAAGTGGCAATTTGAGCAGGTCCCTAAACATCAAAATGAACAAGAGAAAACGGAACCAAACTCTTATTTGAACTTAATGGGAACGGGACACGATGACTTGTAGCCAATTCACACGTATCACACTGGAAGCTGGAAACATCAAGATTGGAAAATAATGATGGAAACAACTTCTTAAGATAACCGAACGAGGCATGCCCAAGATGTTTATGCCATAACCAAATTTTGTTTCTCTCCCCCTCAGAACGAGTTCCACTGGTTGTGAAAGCTTGACCAACCTTGATCTCACTATCCGGTGCCCAGTCCAAGTAGTAGAGTTTGCCCCGCCGAGTACCATAACCAATCGTTTTTCTTGTGAGGATGTCATGAAAAACACAATGATTCAGCCAAAATGTTACAATACATCCCAAAGTAATAGTAAGTTGGGCAACAGATAACAAGTTATGGTTCAAAGATGGAACAAGTAATACAGAATCCAGATGTAGGGAAGTAGAGAGAGATAGAGAGCCCCCCCCAACCACAGGGGAGGGGTACCATTAGCATTAGAGACCATCGATGGAGTGGATGATTTACAACTAATAAGTTGGCCAGGATCAAATGTCATATGATCCATAGCATCCGAGTCAATAATCCATGCTGAGTTTTGAGAGGACGTATGAATAGAGATGAATAATGGCAATGAACAATGGCAAAGTCAGATTAATAGAGATGAACAATGGCAAAGTCAGATTAATAGAGATGAACAATGGCAAAGTCAGATGAATAGAGATGAACAATGGCAAAGTCAGATGAATAGTCACAAAAAATGGTTCAGAACGTGATTGAAACAACACAAGATGTGAAATGGTTCAGAACATTATTCAATGAGGATAAAGGAATCCAATGAAGTAAAAGTAAAAGTAAAAATGGAAGAAAATTATGGCAATGGCTTCAATGAAGGGTTCGAATTATTCCCGGCATACGTATGGTGTTGTAATTGTTTTTATTTTTAAGTGAAATTCTATTATGTTTTGAAATTTTAATTTTTTTAGGTTAAAATGTTTAGAAAATTAAATCATGAGTATTGAAACAAAATAATATCAAGAAAAATTAACAAGAAAAAAAAATTAGGGGTTAATCATTCTTAAACAATTTAATAAAGTTGCAGACTCAAATTATGAGTCTGCAAGGTTGGAGGAAAAAAAATTTTGAGTCCTGAAAATACATAAATAGTTGTATTTTGGAGAGTGAAAATTTGAGTTTAGCCCCAACATGGTTGGAGATGGTCTAACAAACTAACTAATTACAGCTATGACACGTGACATGTGACACGACACTAACAAACTCTTAGCTAACTATTACTGTTATCAAGCCCTACATGAAAACATATTTTAATAGTGACTGGTAGCTAGTTTCTGAACCGTAGCAACCTCTTTAACTTTTTTACTTCTGTGGACACGTGACGTTGCACGTCACTGGCCTTGTAGCCTTAATCTGATCATCTTCATAACCTCAGAGACCTTTTATTTATAATGCTATATGGCTTCTGGAGGCTTTGAAGCAACTAGCAGGCACAAGATAAACTAGCTGCCAACATACAACGCTGGCCAACAAGAAGATGGAGGGCTATAACTTGGGTGTGAGAAAAGGAGCTTGGACTAGAGAGGAAGATGATCTTTTGAGCCAGTGCATTAAGCATCATGGAGAAGGAAAGTGGCACCAAGTTCCTTACAAAGCAGGTATTAATGAAATATAACTCAGAGAGATATATGATATTGCTCGTGAGCCGAGGGGTGCTAAGAGACTTATTCCACATCGGGAATTTCTTGCATTATGCATGGATGCAGGGTTGAACAGGTGCAGGAAGAGCTGTAGACTAAGGTGGTTGAACTATTTGAAGCCAAATATCAAGAGAGGAGAGTTTGCAGAGGATGAAGTAGATCTAATAATTAGGCTTCACAAGCTTTTAGGAAACAGGTACCAATAAACGTCTCTTTCCTTATCCTGTGTTGTTTTCTATATTATATCTTCTGTTGTTTTATCTCAGTACGCATGCCCAACCACAAAAAGCACTAGAAGGGCCATGTAAGCATGCACGATGTATCTTAGTCCCTGTGAATCGTAAAACATAGTGATCATATATGTCAGAACATTTACAGAAGGCTTTTTATCACAATAGGGGAGGTTTGCAAAATTATCGTCTTTTGTCTTTATATATATATATATTTTTTTTTTTTTTTTTGTTTTTTTAATGGTCCTTAAGGTTATCCTTTAACATCAAAATGGTTTCTGTCGTCAATTTCCGTCAAATTTTCTGTTAAAATGCTGATGTGGCATATATGTGGGGCCACACATCTAATAATATAGTGCCACGTAGCTTTAATAAAAGATTTAAATCCCGACCCGGTTCTTTGCTTGCCTGACCATCACCCTCAAATCTGATGAGAGAGAGAGAGAGAGAGAGGGTGGAGGGAGGTGGGGTGCCAAGGTGGGGCGGCAGGTTCGAAGGAAGAGGTCGAGAGAGAGTTTTTTTAAAAAAAAAATTAAAGTTTTAATCTTATCTTTTTTAAATATATTAACATTTTATTTAAAACCATGTGGCTATATATTATTGAATGTGTGGCCCACATATATGCCATATCATCTTTTTAACAGAAAATTTGACGGAAGTTGACGGCAGGGTTTGATTTATTTTCTTCTTTTTTTGTGTGTGTATCATAGCACAAATGTATTGATTTATTTTCTCACGCTATCTGTCGAAGGTGGTCATTGATTGCTGTAAGGCTTCCAGGGAGGACAGCGAATGATGTGAAAAATTATTGGAACACTCGACTGCGGATGGATTCTCGCCTGAAAAAGGTGAAAGATAAACCCCAAGAAACAATAAAGACCATCGTAATAAGACCTCAACCCCGAAGCTTCATCAAGAGTTCAAATTTTTTGAGCAGTAAAGAACCAATTTTGGACCATATTCAAACAGTCGAGAATTTTAGTACGCCGTCACAAACATCATCATCAACAAAGAATGGAAATGATTGGTGGGAAACCTTTTTAGATGACGAGGATGCTTTTGAAAGAGCTACATGCTATGGTCTAGCGTTAGAGGAAGAAGAGTTCACAAATTTTTGGGTTGATGATATGCCACAATCGAAAAGACAGTGTACCAATGTTTTAGAAGAAGGACTAGGTAGAGGTGATTTCTCTATTAACGTGGACTTTGGGAATCATTAAAGGAAGCGTGTTGCTTCAATTGAAAGTAGCTTTAAAAGCCAACTCAGAAGTTGCTTTTAAAAGCTGCTATCAAAAGACCATTGCTTTTAAAATAAGTATGATATTTTATTTTTACCCAATACCTTAAACTGCTAAACTTTAAAGTTAAGCAGATTTTTGGCGAAAAAAGAAATCCTAAACGAGCCTAAGTCTTTGTAATGTTGGGCATAGCTTTTTTCCCTTTTTTTTTTTTTTTTTTTTTTTTTTTTTATGGTGACTTTGTATTGTATATATCATCTAGCTTGTGTACTTTTAATTGTTGAAAACATCTAGCTTGTGTACTACTGTTTTCCTTTTGTTGATGTTAATTTAATATTCTTTTATATGACTATACAGTGAGGATATCAACAATGATGTGGGCATGCGTAGAAAAGTCACATGAGACAGATGCTATGAGAAATAAAGCATAGCGATGAGCTGAATAAAAGTCACATGTATGTTTAGGTCCAGGGCCGGCCCTAAGATTTTGGTGGCCCGGGCCAAAGTCAAAATGAAGGCCCTATAAATGCAAGACTACTTACAAGGAAAAATATGTGTTTTCATTTATACGTGTGTATATAGAATGTAGACCTTTTACAACTAGTAACAAAAATTAGGCCTTAAAAAAAATTTCATTTTACTTGTGGAAATGTTTAAAAATTTTATATATAAACCAATGATTGAACATGAGAAAAAAAATTGAAAGAGATTGGAAGAAAAATATGACATTTTAAGTAGTAAAATGCACCAAAGGAAGAAAGAGGGGTAGAAGGTAGAACATATATGTTAATTATATAAACCACAAATTAGTCTTTCCAAAGTCATTTATATATATATTTTTTTTTCCAAAGATAGTCCATTTGATACTTTTATAATTAGAACATCAACTCATCAAGCATCATTAAAAAAAATTTTTATTTCTTAACACTAGTAGGACTTGAACATAGATTTGGTTTGAATAAAATCAAAGAGAAACCATTAATGCAAGATGGAACTTCAGAAATCTTGATGTTATTAGCTTCTTATATATACTCTAGACCTATATATACTAGTATACTACTGTTAAGAAACTATTTTAGAAGCATGTTTTAAAAGAACAATAAAATAAATAAATATTTTAGGGCCCTCCTTGAGATGGGGCCCAGGGCAGTAGCCCTTCTCGCCCTGCCTCAGGGCTGAGCCTGTTTAGGTCTCCAAACTATACTTTTGCGATTTATTACGCATAACAAAATTAGGCAATCAGTGGTCTCAAGTTTGAACTCCCATAACACTTTGATAATATGAATATGTGAAATCCCCTCCCTCTTAAAGTTTAGACTATCGTTTATATTCAAAAAAAACATAAACAAAAACCAAACAAAATATCATAGGCAATCAATCTTGATAAATGGGATTTTCTTGAGTATGAAATTGTCCACTTGTTACACTAAGTATGAATCTCGTTAGAACTCCTTCCCATTAATTCCAGTTAAATTAATTTATATAAATTAATTTTTTTCGGCTTCCACGAGTTATGAACAACTAAACGTATATGTCATTTTTGTTTTAAACACATATGTCATTGATATACCCAAATTAAACAGAACATTGTGAAGTTTTTCATTTTACAGTTGCTATGCAATAGAATTATTCTATATATAACACGCAATAATAACTATAAACTCTTGTCAAAACATATTCTCCTATGCGAATGCCCGAACGTTATTGTTGTGTGAACACCATGTATTTTCTACTACTTCTCTTTAATTTTTCGCATATTTACAATGGCGTCCGCACGGTAATAACTTACGGACATCCGCATAGGAGAAAAAGTCTATATATAATATATGTGTATATATATAGCTACAGTTTAATTAAATAGTGAAGCCCCTGCATTAGGTTTAATTATGTGGATGTGCATGCTGTAGAAAGATGTTATACAATTTTGCAGTATGCATGCGCAGGATTAAAAAGATGCAGGAAGAGCTGTAGACTAAGGTGTTTAAACTACTTGAAGCCAAAATATTCAGAGAGGAGACTTTACAGAGGAGGAAGTAGATCTATTATTGTACAGCCAAATATTCATAGCTCAACATCCACATCGTCATTATTGTACAGCAATGACTACAGGCCCCATTTAGTAATGTATTTTTTTTTGGTTTTGTTTTTTTTGGGTTGTTAAAAATAAGCTTCACTTTAAAGTTAACCAGTTTAAGGTGTTTAGTAAAATTAAAATATTCTCATTATTTTAAAAGTAATGACCTCCTAACAACAGCCTTTAGGTGCTTTCATAAGAAGCAGATAAGAGCCTTTAATGATATATTTTTTTTTTTAATTTGATATCACCTCCACCTTCATCACCACCACCTCTAGCACCACTCACCACCCACCACCACCACTACCTTCACCTCCACTGCTACCACCACCACCTTCGCCTCCACTGCTACCACCATCACCACAACCACCTCTACCACCATCACTATCATAACCACCACCTCCACCACCACCACCCCAACATGGTTAGCACATAATACATTCAACATCATGTCCATTTTAGTTATTGTCCACAGTTTCAATAGTTTTATATTAAAATTTACCAAACGGTTTTGACCCTGCTTTTTTACTAATAGCACTTTAAAAAGAATGATGAGTCATCACCTAGTACAATGTCTCCCATTTGTTATGAGCAAAATCTTCCCAATGGTAGATTTCCACAACAAAGAGTTGAACTTCTTATTCTTTGCTCAGCATTGGATCCTTGTGATTCCTTCAAGTCTTTCAATATTGAGCGCATCTATGTAAACTTGCTGAGAAATTTTATCATACTCATTTCCTTCCAAGTAAGTTGAAAGCTTTATAGATCAAGTTGAGGTATTTTCAAAATGATATACGTCGCCTTCCATTGTTTAAGGAAATCACCACTCTTTCTCAGTTATGTCAACAACTGGAGGAAACAACTTTGGTACAAAACTACTATTTGTTTGACAGGTTGATTCAATTGGTGTTGACTCTTCCTTCTTCTACAACAACAACGGAATGAGCTTTTCATGTATGAGAATTATTAAGAATCGAAGCACCGTAACTGATAAATTCCTTGTTAATTGCATGATCATCCACAATGAAAGAGAGTTTGCTAATAGAATCGATAAAGCAGACCAGCACGAATTTTATTTCCACCATCACCGCGTGTTTAAATAATTTTATTTGAGGGCACCATTGGGGTCCGTCATGAATATTATTTCAATAATCCGAGTCGTCTATTTTTCAAGTCTTTATTTATAGAATATTCCTGGAAAATGATTAGACAAATTGAAAACCATTAAGACATCTAGTTGTCACCAATAAAATAAGAGTGTTGCTAAATGAACCCTAAAATTAACTGAGTACATCTTATAATCTAAGTACACCATAATATTTTAATTAAAATATATAAAGTTAACTAAATACACCTTATTTTACTACCAAAAATACCCTTGGTACACCCTAATAAACTCTATCACACAATATCCTAATACCAATCCTAAACCAAGCTTCTCTTTTACATGAATTCACGCCATCTTTTTAGATTTATAAGTGTATTAAATTGAACTTCAGACCCAAACATTGAACTTATTATTTGGTTTCATAAGTTATATGATGAAATTTTCATGGGCCTCAACATATTATTTGGATCTAAACCCGAAAAGCTATGAAGCCATTTCAGATGTTTGCGGCAAATCTGTAGCATACCCACATGGTCATGGATCTCTTCAAATCATCAATGTTAAACAACCCAGAAACTACTCCCTTTGAAACACAAATTAGAACCAATTTTCAGAGAAAGGTTACAAAACATTTTGGCCCAGGAAGAACAAATCAAGACAGTATAACGCATTTGATAACAAAATCAATATGAGATTTACCAATACCAGACAACCACGACGCTAGTATAATAGTACAACAACAAGGTTCACTACTACATTTTACGATTTGCGCAACGAAGAGAATTTCGTCACACAAAGTTACTTTTAGTCGCACAAATTTCAGCGCGACAGAAAATTCGTTGCGCAAAGACCATAAAGAAATACTTTGCGCGACGAAGTTTTTGCATTTGTCGCGCAAAACTGAGCGACGGTTAACCTTCGTTGCACAAAAGGTTAAGGGATGAAACAATCGTTCGTACCACAAACCTTTGCGCAATGAACGCATGTTCGTTGCGAGTGCACTGCGCGACGAATATTATCCGTCGCGTTATTTGTGTCCCAACCATTTGCGCGACGATTTGTATTCGTCACGCGTTTCATGTCTCCAAATTTTTGCGCTACGATTGTTGTTGCGCGACGAAATCGTCATCGTTGCGCATTTCTTTTCGCAAGACGAAAGTGTTTGTCGCGCAAGAATAAAATATAGTAATTTGACGTTTTTTATTTTGTAAAATGTGAATTTGCGTGATGAAAAACGTTTCGTCGCCCAAAATTAAAATATATTTCATTAAAATTTAATTTTTCGTTTCTTTTATTTTGTAAAAAAAATAATTTTGGTTTTTTTTAATGCAATAAAATAAAATTGCATTAACAAAATGTAATGAAGAGAAAAAAAATGTTATACAATAATATAAATGTAATTACAAGAGAAATTGTTAAAATGTAATTAAATAAATAAATAACTAATCGAATAATGTTCCAAAATCAACGTGGTCGTCTGACAGATGTGGCTCGGAGGTCTGGACATTGTTCACAGCCACAGGGGTAGAGGTCTGGTGGCCATGCTTGGCGGGGTGGACAGGATCGTAGGTCGACGCAGCAACTTGCGGGACTGGAATGTCATACGCGCGAGGGACTCCAGAATCACAAACATCTGACCCTGAAGCTCGGCCACCTTTGCTGTAAAAGCAGTTACCTGACTGTTTGCCTGCGACAATGACTGGGGTCTAGGTTCCCTCAGCCGGGCATTCTCCATCCCTTGACAATATGTCCCCGGCCTCCTCCCGTGAGTCTGATCCAACGTCTCCGTCAAGATCTGAAACCCAGCATCTTGTGGAGGATCCACAGACTTGATCGGAGTATCGGGAGGAAGTTAGAAGGCGGACTCCTAAAGAACCAATTGGCTCCTCTCCACCATCGTCGTCTGTTTAACATAACATAAAATATAAACTAAAACATTCATAAAATAACTCTGAAACTTGAATGCGTAAGATAATAATTAAAATTAGAGAATACTTACGTGAAGGGTCTCGACCAACTTATTCCCTAGTCGAACATAAACGTCACCAAAGACGTCGATCTCCTGGAATTTGGACCCCCCCTGAATTGAACAAGAGAAGAAAAATGTTAGTACGAAAAAAATAAATTAATATTAACAATATATTAAAGATAGAATATAAACTATTTTATTATTACCTGCCGCCGTGCATCCATCCTATATGAGAAGGGCTTGGAACCTGAATGGTGGAGAAGAGTCTTTTTGTTCCTATTGCCCTTATTGGCTTTGGCTTTATTCTATTATACAAAAAATAAACATATTAGTTGAAATTGAAATGAAATATAAAAAATTAAATACATATTTGTAAGAAACATGTAATAATTTTGAAATTAATATTAAAAAAATACCACATAATTGGGCGCCTGAAAATGAGCGCAAAGCCACGCCCAACTTTCCTCCTGGCCTTCAAGCTCCTTTGAGCAACCCTCCTAAAGAGTGACTTGCGGATCATCAAATGCCTCAAAATGGTAGTGCAAGTTGCTCTTCCACTGCTTGTACCTCTCAGCAAAAAGTCTGTTGACATACGCCAACGACTCGTCGTCGAGGTCCTCTAAGTTGTAGTTCATCTGCAATAAATTAATTACATACATTAAGTAATAGAAATATATAAAGTTTGAAGGAAAAAGAATTACAAGGTAGGATACATACCGACAACTGGCCGCGCACCTCCGTCTTGATCTCATCAGGCATGACCTTCCAAGACTTCCATTGCATCGGGCAATGGGTCCGAATGACGTGACTAATGTCGTGGGCCAATGAGCTATGCAACTCCGCCGTCGTTGCAGCCCGATGCTGCTCGTCATATCCAATGTTGATACGACTGTTGGTCACCCAAGTGACCTTCGCATTCTTCAACTGCCGACACGACCCCCGGGTGTTCTTCTTGGCTGCAAAGAAAGATGAAATTAACGTTAAATAAATAACAAATAAAACTATAAAATAAATAATAATAATAATAATAATACAACAACAGTTGAAGGAAATCTGTACCTAGTTGTGACCCTGACGCACCAGTAGCGTCTGTCAATGTGGTGTCAGTGGTGCTGGCGGGCCGGTGATGACGCCTAGTACTAACAGGTTGCGTCACTGATGACGCTGATAACACCGGCGCCTGGGACCCCCCGGAGCAACTGGCAAGTGGTCCATCAGTGCTGGAGCAGTGGCAGCAGATGACGACTGAGCTGGGGGAGGCGAACTCTATCCAGTCGTCACCGCCTTACGACTTCTAATCAGGTTCGACGTCTGCACAATTTCATTAATACACATAAAACTTATTCCAATTTAGCAAGATCCATCGAATCCGACATGATCCTAGAAATACAAGGTACAACATACGTGAGTTTTTGTTCGATCCAACGGTCCAAACATATCAAACCCGGAAATCACACAATAGGCGAAATCCGTTCGAGACTCAAACGGTAACCAAATTCAAATCTGAGCACAACTACGCACTCGAGACAACTAGGGGATTACACTGGGACCCAATGCACACTAATACAATAACCCACGCGCCACCACACACGCCGGCAACGCATAGGTGTCCAAAGCGATAACATGTCGCCGGAAAATTCTAAAAATTTAGGGCCAAGGTTCCTACTCCATGTTCAAAACATGAATTGGAGCCACTTTTGTTCTCGGACCTACCCCGAAAAATGGCCGGAAGTGGCCGGAATTTAAATTCAAAAACTGGCCAAACTTAGGGTTTAAATTCGAGATATCAAAACTAAAAATTAATCAAATCCCACCCAACCATCAACTAGAGCATGAAAAATAGACCAGAAACCATACCTTAGGTGTCGAAATTGGTGGCCGGAGGAGAGAGAACCAGGCCGGAGAAGAATCTGCGAAAACCGGGCCAATTCCGACTGGAGGCGCGGCGGCGACGGCGGGAAAGGTCTGGGCTTCGAAGGTGATGACGGCCCGGTCCTTTTTCTGGCGGAGAAGTGGGCCTAGTCCTTTTTAAATACACCTTGTGCGACCAAAAAATAAATGATGGCGTCCCGCAAGGTAAGGTTGTGAGTCCGCCAAAATTTGGGATTTAGGGTTTAGGGTCTGACCGATATTGGGCGATGAACACAAAGGCGTCGCGCAAGGTTGTGTTTTGTACACTTTGCGCGACGAAGAAACTACTCTTCCGTAGCGCAAGGTTGTAATTCCGCCAAAATTTGAAATTTAGGGTTTAGGGGGGAGAGAGAGAAAGTGAAAGGTCTGACTGATATTGCGCGACGAATAGATAGAGGCATCACACAAAGTTGTGTTTTGTACACTTTGCGTGACGCATGAACTTCTTATTCGTCACGCAAACCCTAAACCTTAAACCAATTTCAATGATCCAACCGTCAAACTTATTTGTTTATATTTTGAGATCATAGACGCCAAAAATAAAAATAAAACAAACGTACAGAGATCAAGTAACGGGACAAAACTTTTCGACAATAAGTAATGAAAAGTTACAATTTGACGGTTATTTTAACTCCAATTTTGATGATTTTTTACAACTACACTTCTTGACCCTATATGAATACAATGACTAAATTTGATCTTCAATTTCAGATATTTACACGAGTGGATACCACATAATCTTATGTTATATTTAACGAAATTATAAATAAACTCTTAATTGTTGGTGAATATATTGTTTTGATGACATACCCATTCTACAAAACTAGTTTCAATAATCCAACCATCAAACTTGTTTGTTTATACTTCGAGATCATGTACGCCAAAAATTGGAAAAAACAAACATTCAGAGATCAAGTAACGAGACAAAACTTTTCGACAATTATAAATGAAAAGTCATGATTTAACGGTTATTTTAACTCCGATTTTGATAATTTGGTTATTTTAACTCCGATTTTGATAATTTTTTACAGTTAGACTCCTTGACCCTATATGTGTATATATTATATTAAAATAAATATATTGACGCAACGAGTACCAAAATCGTCGCGCAAAATAGCTTTACGCAACGAAAGTATAGGTTGTCGCGTGAAATTGTAACTTTACGCGACAAGAAATATGTTTCGTCACGCAAAATTGCAACTGTCACGACGAGTAACTTCTTCGTCACGCAAACTATGCTCGACGAGGCTCGTTCGTCGCACAAGTATTTGGCGCCATATACATATTTAGGTCAAATTGTGTCTCATTTTCATTTTTTTTAAATGTTTGTAAAATTAATTTTCAAAATTTGTATCAAAAGGGTTTGGATATATTTATTTACCAATGTTTTATAACTAAATTTTTTTTCATTTTTCATTTTCTTGTATAGCTCAATTTATTTAACAATGTTTCATTTCTCCACATAGAAATCAAGTTTGGATATAACAAGTACATATATTCAAACAAGCATATTTGCTAAAATTTGTACACTAACATAATAAAATTACAAAAAAAATCATTATTCATCATCTGAACTATAATAACTTTCGTTATCGTCACTATCATCACTTTTGGTCTCTCAATCCTCCTCCTCTATAACTAAATCATCGTCGTTGTTCGAGCCTACTGCAACATTGTATCGCGGAAGATCACCGAGGTGAATTGTAATTGTCTGAATCGGTATTTTGATTGAAGACGCCCCTTGTATCTAAAATGGTTCTTGTATAACATTTGTATGTCAAAGTGTTTCCACATCATTTTCCATTGAAGATTCTAAATGTTGGTCAGCCACATTGTAGACGTTGTTGTCAGTTTCGTCTAGTTCCGGTATAGCATACACATTCCTATGATCCATCTTCTGAACAACTTTCCAACCGCTCCCGGCTTTAGGGTCATCTAGATACACAATCTGTGTTGCCATGTTTGCCAAAATGTAAGGGTCGTCATCATACCAAGTTCTGTTAATGTTCACAGATAGTAAGCCTTTGTCGATTTTAACACTTCCTGGCCTATTTGGATTGGTATCAAACCATCGACACTTAAACATGATCACTTGGTATTGGTCTTTGTAAAGCAATTGCACGACAGTTGCGAGTTTGCCACAGAAATCAATGTCCGTACTTTTGCCTCCACCTGGGACATGAACACCGCTGTTTTGCATACACAACTTGTCATCTCGTGCAGTCCCCAAAAACTTGATGCCGTTAACATGACAACCCGAGAACAATTCAGCGCAAATCGAGTCGAACGCCAAGTTATATAACTCATCACTGTAAGTGGGGGAATTCGATGCTTTCAACTTATTCACCTAATATTATACAAAACCATTCACATGTTAGTTTGACAAAATTAAATACTACAATATATATTTGTCAAATACAAAACACTTATAACTTATAGAATCCAGAAACCATTGTGGAAACAATTCACACTGTTTGTTGGCATACAAATGCGATTGATGCTCTCGCTTCATCATCTCTTCATACTCATCTAAGTATCCCATTATCTCATCACAATTATTCAGTACGAACCAATGCGCTACCTCCATGTCATTTCTAGAAAATGACTTTCCTCGTCTAGGATCTCCAAAGTGTCGTGTGCTTTGGGCAAAAATAGAAAGTTTTTCATTTCTCATACGTCCGTCATTAGTGCGCTGAGGACGATTGAAAGCCGTCTCCACATCTTTTAAATACATTCCACAGAAAGTAAGCGACTCATATTGAACTCAAACCTCTATAATTGATCCTTCGGGCTTCGTCCTGTTGCGTACACTTTTTTTCAGCAAGCAATGCCTCTTCTATAGTTGATCTTTCGGGCTTCGCCCTGTTGCCAAAATAAAACGATATGATACAAATTAGCAAGCGTGTGATAATTTTGCATACACAAACTATAAGGATTATATACCTTTCTATTAGATACATCCAGCAATAATTGACAGGACCAGCAAGCAATGTCTTTTCTGGCAAGTGAATCATCACGTGGATCATACTTATGAAGAAAGCTGGAGGGAATATCATCTCAAACTTGCATAGGAGTTGGACAATGTCATGGCGCAATTGAAACATGTCTGTCTTTTGCAATGTTTTTGCCGTCAGTTGGGAAAAAAATCTAGACAACAACATGATTGCCTTCACTGTATCTTCCAGCAATATGTGTCGAATACTCACAGGGAGTAGGCGTTGCATAAACACATGGCAGTCATGGCTCTTAAGTCTAGTAAATTTACTCCCGTCAACATTCAAGCAACATGCGATATTAGAAGCATACCCAACGGGAAACTTTACAGACGATACAAACTTTAGAAACTCTTTTTTGTCATTTGGTTTCATAGAAAAAAAATGCAAGATCCCTTCTAGCTTTATCACTATCCCTATTCATCCATAAACCCCTTCGTATGCCCATTCTTTCCAAATCAAGACGAGCTTTGATCGTGTCCTTTGTCTTGCCCTCGATATCTAGAATCGTGCCCACCAATGTGTCAAATACATTTTTCTCAACATGCATCGTGTCTAGATTGTGCCTCAATTTTTGTTTCGACCAATATGAGAGCTCAAAAAACATAGGTTTGTGCGTCCAATTCATATGTGTAGAAGGTCTGGTCTGACTAACTGTTTTCCCGAACGGAGCAAAATCCAAATGGTTAAGCTGTTCCAAAATCTCATTATCGAACCATTCTCTAGGTCTGAGGCGACGCTCTATGTTCCCGTTGAACTCTTTATCTTTTTTACGCCACTCATGGTCTCATGGCAACCATCTCCGATAACCAAGGTAACAAACCTTTACATCTTGCCAACCAGAAGGTACATCTTCCTTGCATACAAGACATGCCATATAACCCTTTGTGCTCCACCCAAAAACCATTGCATATGCGGAAAAATCATTCACAGTCCACATAACATCTTCCCAGTTCATTTATTGTACGTGCGCACACCGTTTGTCCATAAATCCTTCAGCTCATTAACCAGCGGCCTTAAGTAAACATCGATTGACCTGCCATGATCCTCAGTTATCAAAACAGTCATCATCATGTATTCTTTTTTCATGCATTTCCAAGGAGGCAAATTATATGGAACACGAAAATCGGCCAAGTGTTGTGGTGTTGGTTTAGAACCCCATACGGATTGAATCCGTCAGTGGTAAGTCTCAATCTAACATTTCGGGGATCAACAACAAACCTGGGGAACGTTCGATCAAACTCTTGACATGCCTCCCCATCTGCAGGATGCCGCATCACATCGTCGTCTACCCATTTTTCCTTATGTCATCTCATGTATGTGGCAGTATGCGTCAACATATACAATCGTTGCAACCTAGGTTTCAGGGGCAAATAACACATGATTTTTTGTGGGATCTTAGTTGTTCTATTCTGAGATGTCATTTTGAACCTCGACTCATTGCATATAGGGCATGTATCCAACGTTTCATGCTCTTTGTAGAATAACATGCAATTGTTTTTACAAGCATGAATTTTTTCATAACCTAATCCAAGACCATTCAACACCTTTTGCACGTGTTTATGGTCTTTTAGCAAACAATTCTCTGTCGGAAGCATTCTCTTAAAAACCCCCAAAACGTAATCGAAACATAAGTTCGACATACGATACTTTATTTTTTCGTGCATTAGCTCCACAATGGCCGTGAGAACGGAAAAGCTCTCGCACCCCGGGTATAACTCTTGGTTGTCATTTTTTAACAGTTTTTCATATTGTTCAAACTCTGCACTGTCCATTGGTGTAGGCACGTCATATTCCCCTTCCTGATTGATGTTGGTTGATCCAAATGGAAAAGCATCGTGTATAATATCCATGACTTGATCATTAAGATCCACAATATGTTCAACATTGTCCACTCTTGTGGCATTTGAAGACGAAGCATGGTCTAATTATTCCCCATGAAGGTTTCAAATGCTATATGTCTCAATCATTCCATTCCTTACTAAATGAAATCCAACATTTTCAATTGTTTCCCACAACGTGTTGTTACACCTCCTATAAGGACAACGGATTCTAGTTGCACTTAGGTTGTGTGTACGTGTAAACTCAATAAAATCCTCGATTTCATGCAAGTATTCGTCTGCGGATCTATTCGGGTTCTGTATCCACCTCATGCTCATAATTCATGGAGCCACAATCACAACATAACAATCACAACAACTTCATACGAAGTCGTAATGTCACCTTATGCCTCCGGTAAGGGCCCTATCCCATTCAGGAATGCATCGTCACGTCATGTAATGTACGGCTAAATGAGATTAGATTTGGACGTGGATGAATTTCAACAGCATCTCAATACAGTTCTTGAGGTGTACCGTGGGTATAAATACCTACATACCATCCGAAGAAGGTACAGAGATAACACCAAAATCTCCACAATCGAAACCTAATTCTGTAGCCGTACATTACGTGACATAACTATGCTTTCCCAAACTGTCCAAATAATGGGACAATTCAAGAATTAATTGGACTGCAGTCATGCTTTACGCATCCATGCACGAAATTCAACTAATCTCGAACGGAAAACTAAGTGTTACTAAAAATAAAATAAAAGTACGAAGTTAATTTCAATTAACTTTGTACATCACAACACATTGTGCTACGTCACGCACAATTTAACAACATAATATAAATATAACTTCACAAAAAAAATATAAACATAACAAACTAAGTTTAACATAATGTAATTAATTTAACATTTTTAATATATAAAACGAATAAAATACCTTCTCAATCGTTCTCCACCAATCGCTAATTACAAATATCCTTAACGAGAACGAAATTAATAGCGTTAGTACAAATTTACATTAATACTTTTAAACTAACGACAAAAATACTTACCCAATGAACATATTGAATTCCCAGCAGAGGCAGTGGCAGAGGTGCAAAGAGAGGCAAAATGCTTTTTTTTTTTGCATTCTACCTCTGCAATGGCAGAATATGAACAAGAAGGACTTTGCGTGATGAACCCATATTTTCGTCGCTCAAACTGCCGTCGCGAAAAAAATTTACGTAGCGTAAAACTACTTTTTCATCTCAAAAGTCATCCATTTCGTTGCACAAAATGACTTTTTCGTCCCGCAAGCATGTGTTGATATCACACTTTTGCGCGACACAAGTTTTTATTCATCGCACAAACTTTCGTCGCGCAAAAGAGAACTTCCATCGCGCAAGAATTTGCCGACATCAAACTTTACGCAACGAACTATATTTCCATTGCGCAAGGCTTTGGTGCCAAAAAAAAATATCCCACGCAAGTATTTTGGCACAAAAAAAAATATATATATCCCACGTTTTTCTTACGCGACGATAAATCATGTCGTCACGCTAAGTTGTCTTTTGCGACGACAACTGTCGTCGTACAAGTTTTTGCCGCCAAATAACAAAACCCACTGTTTTCTGTCCACTTTATGCGACGAAACGTCCAATCGTCGCGCTAGGTTTTCTTTCACGACAATTTTTGTTGTCGCGCAAGTGTTTGGCACAAAAAAAAAACCCGCGTTTTTCTTCCTCACTTTTCGAGACGAATAAGTTTTCTGTCGTGCTAAGAATTGTGCACGACGAAAATTTTGGTCGCGCCAGTTTTCTGTTGTTTGTGTAACGAATAATTTTTTTCGTCTCTGTAGTGCATTTTGCGTGACGAATTCTCATTCGTTGCGCAAATCGTAAATGTAGTAGTGGTGGCTGTAATAGTGGAGAAGCGGATGGTATGATGACGGTGTTAGTGTGATGATGGAGAAGACAATATGAATGAGGCGTTGCTATGTCTAGTGGAGGAGACGACAATGGTGTTTCACAATTCGATATATCCTTTTTGGTCATTTTTTATTAGGGTAAATTAGTAATTCAATAAATAGTTTGGTAATAGGGTGCACTTAGTTAATTTTAGGGTTCGTTTAGCAGCACTCTAAAATAAATGCATACGGTGCTTGAAAAAAACCATAAAATGACAATTGTTTAATTGAGTGGTCAAATAATTTCGGATTTAAAAGTTATCTTTTGTATGAATAATCATTAAAGAAATATCTAAGAAAATACCCTACTCGGATCATGGAAATCCAATCCCTCAATTTCATATCATCATTTGATGATAACCGTACTAATCCAGCAAATCGTGGTCCCAAAATTTGCAAATAGTACTCAAAACTTACTTCTAGTGCTTAAATGAACTCAAATAGTGGTCCCATTCTTTTTGAATATGAAATCTTGGCCCCTTGCTTTTTTTTGTATACAAGATCGATTTTGAAAACGATTGAATAAAGATAATTATTAGTATTACTGCTGAATTCCACTTTTCCAGACAATGATATTGTACATCACCTAGGCAGTTACAAGATCGATTTGTGCTTGATTCGTTTTCTCATATAAGATACACTGTAACGTCAAGTTGTTTGGTTTCTTCCAGTAAGGCATCTGTCTCACTCACTGATAGCGCTTTGTAATGGATGTGGGAGGGTTGGCAGTTGTAAAAAGCTTTTATTTATTTATTTATTTATGTATTTATTTATAGTTATTTACACTAGCACCTCCTGAGATTTTTGGTTTTCTCACAGAATTCCCCCCAAGTTTTTCAAATTACACGAACACCGCCTCGGTTTCAGTTTGTTTTCACATAACCCATTTTCATTGATTTTTCATCCAAAGATTGATGATTTTATAATAAAAATTTCTTCAAATGACAAAGTTGGTCTTTGAGATTAGATTGCATATACATGAACTGAGATTCATTTTTATTTACACAAGTTTTTTTCAATGAAATTATCAATTTTTGGACGAACAATCAACGGAAAAGGGGTTTTGTGAAAACACATTGAAACCTTAGGGGGTGTTTGTGTAATTTTTGAGACATGAGGCAGATTTGTGAAAACACCAAAAACTTGAGGGGGTGTTAGTGTAAATATTTTTTTTTCTGCTAGAGTTATTTACAATGACATCACCAACGAGGTTACAAATTCTTTTCACTAACCCCTTCCTTTAATTTTATGTTGAACATTTTTTCATGTCATAAAGAATACTTCTTTGAAATGACAAAATTAACTTAAACAATTGGACCTCGTGAATCTATTTGCAATCTAACCTCTTCATTAACTCTGTCATTCGAAGAATTTTGTTTTTATGACAACACCATGTTGTTAGATGAAAAATTAATATAAGGAGTTTTGTGAAATCAATTTGAAACCTCTAGAGAGTGTGAGTGTAAATTTTGAAACCTCCAGAGGTTTTGGGACCCAAAACCTCAATGGAACAAATATCTATTTGACATCAAAGAAAAGGATCCGTGACATACAACTCGTGTTTTTTTTGTTACAAACCCTCGCAATTTGTTTTCATCGTTA